TTCGAGGGTTACTCCCCAGCCATCAAATGAGCATGTCTTCCTCCACTTGCAGAACAAGTTTGTAAGGGGAGTGGAAGTTACTCTTGGCTCAGCAAAATAAAATGCAAAATAAAATAAAATAAAAAATAAAATGCCATCATGCTTCAGGGAACCAGCCTATGCTCATACTGGGGTTTTCACAAGACAGAGAGTTTTTAGCTTTAAGGCTTTGGAGATTGGAGAAAGGAGATTTGAAAAATCATTAGCCATGTTCCTGCCAGCCTCTGCAGTCAGGCTAAGAACTGTGTGTTCCTTAAGGGCAGGGACAAATTCCTTCCATGTGTTTTTGTTGTTGTTGTTGTTGTTCATTTATTCCTTCCTAAAGTGCTATCAGTGATGCCATAGACCAATGGACTTTGGGACTTAAAATATGACGATATCTCATTGATTCTGCATTGCTGCTAAATAAGGTGTGCACTGGATAAAATTTTCCACATAACCGGACTGTCACCCTTTCAGAACTGAATTTTTAACAATGGAAATGTATTTGGACTGCATTTTAGTTAATAAATACGGAAGAGATAATTAACTCTTTGACCAAGGAAATGCATTACCATAAATGTATGATTTTACTGGCTGGATCAGAGATGTCCTTGGGGACTACAAAGATGAAAAGGACTCTTTGCAGCCTCCTGCTATGTTCTTTCATTCTAGCCTCTTTCCACTGGTTTTCTGATTTTCTAACTCTGTGTTCATTTGGCTTCACTTCTGCCCTTTCTTCCCAGAGTCTGTATCTGAGAAGTTTCCTTGCCTTCCTCAGTCTGGACTATTTACTTCTTCACCAGTTGTAATCTAGAACAAAACCGAGAGGAACCAGATGGACTTAATTTTACATACATTACTTAGTAACTACGCTCTCCTGCCAATGAGAGTAGGATTTTTATGATAGCTGCAAAAATCTAATTGATCCCTTCTGTAGTTATGTGAGGATATGGACTTTATATCAAGTGGCATTTTATTATGAACTTAGAAAAATGTGCATCTTATCTTATAATTAAAATTCGCCTTCAGTATAACAAGTTAATTTGGACCCCCCAAGTGGATTTTGAACTCGTCACTTCTAAGTTCTTTGCTACCCTCCTTGGTCCAGGCCAACATTCTGTCTCACAGGTGACTGGGGCTGCTGCCTCTTGATGGTTTCCCAGCATGAGTCTGGCTTCCTTCCAACTCATTCTCCACACTAGAGCAAGCATGAGCTTTCAAAAATGTGACTCTCATCATTTCACCTCCATGCTCAATGGTTTTCCGTGGTCGCCTCGCCTTGCCTCGGCCTCCCTCTGCTGTGGCGTTCCGCCACACCGTCTTAACGAGCGAGGAGAGGCAGGTGACTCCACGCCGTATGTGTACAGGCTTGTAAAACCACCACACCTGAGGATTTCAGACATTATTATGACCTGGATAACCTCCCACTCCAAGTGAAGCTGTTTTCTTTGCTAGATTTGCTACAGTTTGGAAGGGAAGCTGTCCTTCAACAATGACAAATGACATAGCTGTTGTCTCTAAGACCAGAATGATTAATGGATTTTACCTCATCCATCCTCTCATTTGACACAAGGTTGAGACACTTACTATCACTACTTTCTAGCAGAAGAAATAAAATTACTTCCCAGCATACGTAATATGAGGAATCGTTAAACTTGCCTTGGCCATACTCTTTTATACCCCAGGACCTTTGCATATGCTATCTGTTCTGCCTGCAATGCTCTTCTCTCTTTCCATGACTGCCTCCTTCTATCCTTCAGTTCTCAAATTAAATGTTAATTCCTCAGGGAAGCAATTCCTGACCATTCCAATTCATCTATTAGTGAATAATAAGTATTCGCTATTATTCTCTCTCTAGGGTAGAGTTACGTGGATAGACATATGGGAATGAACACAAAATATGAAATCTTTGTATCACATGTTAATACTCATAAAATAGCATCCACCTTGGAAGAGATATTAGATAACCTGGCAGACAAAATGACCTAGACGGTTGACTTCAGCCACCCCAGTGCTAGAACAGAACACATGAACTAAGAAGCCACAGTGGCAGAGGTAGAGATTACACATGGGCCCAACAGCCTGAACTGCATTTATCAAGGCTGATCTAACTACTACCACTGCTGAATATCCAACACATCAACCACAAAGACTGATGCTAAGCTTCCAATATGACACCCTTGCTCAAGAAGACCAATCAGTCACTTGGTGAGAGGTTGACTATATTGAGCTCCTTTCATCCTGAAGGGCCAACAATTCATTGTCACAGGCATTGACACACACTTTGGGTATACGTTTGCCTTTCCTGCTCACAGGAACTTGGTCAGCACTAGTATGCAAGGGTGGGGTTATGGGGTGTTCATTCTGCAAGCACAGAATCCCATATAATATCACATGAAACCATGAGCTTCACTTTACAGTAAACAAGGTGCAGAGATGAGCCCATGGCCACAGAATCTACTGGTCATTATCACATATGTACCACCCAGAAGTGGCCAGCTCCTTAGCATGCTTTTTGGAGGACATCCTCTAGTATATGCATTGGATCAAAAACTTTTATATGGTGCTATGTCCTCAACAGGAAGACTGAATGAGTCAGGGACCAAGGGAGGAAGAGGGAATGGCTCTACTTTCCATCCTCCCAGGAACACGCTAGGGGGTTTTATACTTCTTATCCTGTAACTCTGAACACTGCAGGATTAGAAGCTCTCATCCTTAAAGGAGTCACACTTTCACCTGGGAACATAGCAAGAGTATCATTGAACTATAAGCTATGGCTACCACCTGGGCACTTTTGTTTCCTGTCTCCAGGGACCAGAAGACAAAGGGAGGAGTCATCATCTTGACAGAGGTAATTGATCTGATCACCAGGATAAAGTAGGACTGTTGTTACACAACAGGTCAGGAAGGAATAGTATGGAACCCAAGTGACCCATTTGGGCTTCTTTTGGTCCTTCCTTGCCTACTTGTGATTGTAAATGAATGAGCACAGAACTCTATTCTGCAAAGGACATGTGTCTTAGTCAGTTTGGGCTGCTATAACAAAATACCATAGACTGGATGGCTAAAATGTCAAATATCTCTTTCTCAGTTCTGAAGGCTAGGAAGTGCAAGATCAAAGTGTAGGTAGATTTGGTGTCTGGTGAGGACTCTCTTCCTAGTTTACAGACAGCTGCCTTCCTGCTGTATCCTCATATGGCAGAGAGAGAGAGAGCACCTAGTCTCCTCCTGTTAGTCTAAGGGCACTAATCATATCATGAGGGCCCCATCCTCATGGCCTTATCTAAACCTAATTACTTCCCAAAGACCCCACCTCCAAATAGCATCACATTGGGGATTGTGGTTTCAACATATGAATTTCAGAGGGACACAAACATTCAGTTCATAGCAGCATGGTGACCAGGGCTCAGACTCTTTAGGGCTGAGGATTTGGGTGAAATCACCAGGAGAGCCACTGAGGCTGGCAGAGGTGATATCCGATGGTAAGGAGAATCTAGATTGGGTAATGGAGGAAGAGAAAATGAATATTGGTTTTGGTCCCTAGACTCATTGCAGGCGTGGGGGCTAGAGTTTGTCCTCACCTTCTTCTTCTAAGTTGTCCATCAGGAAGCGAGGCCTGCTGGAACCTGCAGGAGATGTGCCTTGAATGCTCACGAAGAAGCGCACTGGGGTGAGGCAGAGATGAGTCAGCTGGTCTCTCTTCGAGGAAGCACTTGCCCCGGAGCTAGGAGAGTGCAATCAGCAGACAGCCGCCAGCTGCCAACCCCTTCAGGGTCTGCCCCAGCTGCAGAGAGTCATGCCCTTCCCGGGGAAGTCCGCATCTGGTGACTGAGCAAGGCTGGGGGTGTAAAGGCCTGGACGTTTCTGGGACAACCTTGCCCCAGAGCTGCCAGGAAGGCTGGCTGAGGCTTTGTTGGGGCCGCACTACAGGTGGGTTTCAGTCTCTGCTCAATCTTCTTTTCCTCTATCTTCTTTTCACTGGTGTTTAATCTTAATAAATATCTTGCATCCAAATTTTTCTCATCATCTGCTTCCAGAAAACCTAACCTGCTATAGGCTATATGCTTCGGAAGCCAAGGAGAAACTCACTAACTAGGTAATTTGGGGCAAGTTATTTCACACTCCTGAGCTTCCATTTCTTCATTTGTAAAATGGGGATAATGTTTGCCTCCCAGGGCTGTGTGAGGCTTAAAGGAGACGGAGTGTGTAAATCACCTGGCATAGTGCTTGGCATATAAGAGTGTTTCAACACGTGTTGCAAGTTGACCGTTGTCTTAAAGGGAAGCTCCTCAGAAATGGACAATCTCCCATGCTGACACAGCCTTATGAGTTTTTTGTTGAGGAGGAAAAACTGAGTGCTCAGTTTTCTGGTCATGTTGCTGATAAGAATAATGCTTTATTCTTACATAGCATAAACTGTGAGCCAGGCACAGTCCAAGTGTTTTGCATATGTTAGGTCATTTAACCCACCCAACAACCCAGTGAGGAAGGTACAGTTCCTAGTGCCATTTTACAGATAAGGAAATGAGGCACAAAGAAGTTCATAAACTGGTCTTAGGTCCCAAAGATTGGAAGTGGGAGAGCTGGGCTCTCAACTCACACAGGCTTGGACCAGAATCTGTGCTCTTACGCAACAGTCTCTTGCCTCTTGGTTGAACTTCATTTTACAAAGCATGTTAATGAGATCATCCTGCCTCTCACCTCCCACTGGCCTATGACACCCTTCCAGAACAAATTTTTCTAAATAGAAAAAAGGAACAGGATGAGGAAGATGTCACCTGCCTGCAAATGGGCTGAGGCTCATTAATCTTTTCTGAAGCCCAGAGGGAGGGAGAATCCAAACACACTTGTATCCCTGGGGCTGAGGAGCCAACCACTGGGAACCATCCTGGCAGAGGGTATCATGGTAGAGTGAGAAGTTGACAACAGCAGCTTCTTTGCAGAATTTCACGTATTTGCAAATAATTAACTCAGATTTCCAACATGTCTTTATTTGTTTAAATTAACAAAATATAGGTTACATGCTATTTTCAGGTAAACTGCTTTTTCACTAAAGCAGAAAGCAATATTCACAACTTGGGCTGCTGTATACTTGGAATTTTAGTTTTTAAATAGCAAGCCAGAGTTCTGTACAAAACCAACATTTGGTGTAATGTTGTCCAAATATGCAAAGGATTTTCAATGTTAGCTCTGTTACATTTTGTTCCAGAAAAGCAGACAAAGATCATAATTCAAAACACAATGCTAATATTTTATTAAATGCCTTCAGGGCTTAATAAATACAGTATGCACACTGAGCTTTCTCATGCAACTACTCATATACAAACGTAACAGTTACTCTCATGGGTTTGTGAAAGGTCAGCCTCTGTCTCATGGCCAACGCAGAGTCAAATTTTTGAAAAGAAAGAATAAAAGCAGAATTGAAAGGGAACAAGAGTGGTAATCATAGGAATGAATAAAAAGGATAAAAGAAAAATATGCCACTTGGCTGGTCCATTGGTTGGTTCAAAGTAATGATGGTCAAAAGCCTGGAAAGCATTTGGTAGTGACCTATTTTCAGAGTGTCACACGTGACGAGTGTCATGCTATCCTGGCCTTGGTGTGCTGGTAACCTTGGAAGGCTTGATCCCTCAGTTTTCTGAGATGGCCCCATGGCTCCCCTTCTGGCTTGCCTCTGGTTAATCAGCTTGTTAAGCAAGGTTGGCCAACCCCTCCCTTAGCTCTGTGCTCATGCTTAGGGTATCCATGCCATTTCGCACCCAAACTGGGATACTTTTGATAATAAAGATGATATTATTAGTAATTACCCTTGAGACAACAGGTCTAAACCAGTTCTGTCCCAGGCAAACCAGGATGTTGATCACTCAACATACAAAACAAAGGTTTTAGCCTTGGTTCTTGGAAGGTCAGTGCTATATTAACCATCAGGTTAGATCTAATTAAGTCTCTCCTACCCAGAGTTAAAGACTAAAAACAGGCCTTGGAATACACACCATAATAAATTCTTGTTACTTCTCCTAGACTTACATTTTCTTCCCTATGGATAAAATGTGACTTAGAATGCTAATAGTCAACACAGATGAAATTTGAGCCACTCTGAGTGAAGTGAGCACGGGGCACTGAGGGTTTCTCCCCTCACCCCTCAGCAGCCCTTCGGGGGCCTAAGGGCAACCTCTGGCTCCTCAAAACACAGTTGGAAAACCACCATTCTAGACTGTACTCTTTCCATCTCAACATTAACTGATTCCTCAAACATTCTCCCGTGATTTGTTTTGGCTGGAAAGGACTAGAGCCTGCTACTCTAGATCTCCCTGGTTCCTATTCCAGCCGGGCACACTGGGTCCCAGCTGGCAGTTGGCACACCTGTGGTCAGGCCCAGCACTCAGCAGGCCCTCAACACACGGCTGCTGTATGAATAGGTATGTAGCTGGACCCTGAGAGCTGGAGGCCTCCCAGGCTCCTCCGCAGGCCTCCAGGGCACCTTCAGCAGAGGCATTGATGAGCCAAATGAATCGTGAGTGGAAGGGAACTTGCCCTTCTAAGGAATTGGAACTCCTGGCCCAGAGTCATGCTTGTAACCGCAGAAACCTACATCTTCTCTTCTCCATCCTGTTTGCAGGTGCTCTGACCTCAGGGCTTGGGAGCTGGAACCCTTAGGGGTAGCGGTGAGGCTGAAGGAAAGAGCTTGAGGCGAGGTGACGAGGTGACGGGAGAAATGGGCCAGGGACTGACAAGCACACAGTGAAGGATGAGATCAGCAGGGGAGCACCTAGGCCCACAGAAAAGGCAGCACCCAGCAGCTGGAGAGGGATGCATTTCTAAAGAAATGTACTGAGAAGTGTGGAAGGAGAGGAAGCAAGATAACAAACAGTACCTAGCTCTACAAATAGGAGATGAAACTACCAACAAAGAGGCAGTTCTCACATAAACCCAGACACAGTACCAAAGGGTCACTGCTCATGCTCGGTCACACATGCAACACCTTGTCAGTGTCGCTCTCTCAGGGTCATTGCTAATTAAGGCCTTCTTGCAGGGACCAACACACTCTTTGAGTTGTCATTGCTCACTGGAATCAAGGTGCAGCATCTGGGAGGAAACAATCAGTCACCATAGGCCAGCCATGCATCTCTCAACGTATGAGGTGACCATAAACATCACAGGCATCATCTTCTACTGTAAAACGCGTCTATCTTTTCAGTGTGTGTGTGTGTGTGTGTGTGTGTGTGTGTGTGTGTGTGTGTGTGTGTTTCCCCTTGTGAGGCTCTTACAGAACAGGCTAGAAGGCCTAAATCAGCAGTATGATTGTGTGGTCTCCTGTTCCTACCTTAACAAGTCTGAAGCCAGGAACAGGAATATTTACAGAGTCCCTGGGAGGAGCCCTGGAAGCTACAGGAATGGGCGAGTGCTATTTTAGCCCAGTCAATCTTTCTCAGCCTTGGCTGCACATAAGAATCACCTGGGGCAATGTGGAAACTAGGGCTCCTGGGGCTCCACTCCAGACCAATTACATCAGGATCTCAGGGAGTGAGGCCCTGGCCTTGGTATTTTTTAAAAGGCTTCCCCAGATGATTGTAATGTACAGTCAGCGCTGAGAACACAGCCCAGAGGCTTCCTTACCAGTGATTAGCTGATGATTCTTCCAATACTATTAGACAGAGCTGAGATTTCAGGGAGAATTCCTCCAGATCACCCCCTTAGCTCCAGCACTGAGGGGTGATGCCCTGCTCACTGGTGACAACACTTCCTGCAGCTGTCTTACGGGACATGAGACTTCAGAGCCAGGTGGCCATGGTCTCAAGGGGGGAGCTCTGCTTGGGACATGGGGGTGGTCTGGGGAGCCAGGGCCCCTGAGCACTGCCGAGGCATCTGAAAATACATTCCAAATGCCTCACCCCACGAAGGTAGCTGAAGCAGAACAAGAGAATCTAAGTATTCCAGGTGGAATCTAAGTATGGCTGGTTTTCGAGTAGTCAAAATTATTCATCTTGTCCTGAAATTTTATCTAACTGCAGCAACGACTTGAAAACATCCTCTTTAATAGCTCATCCTCCTGGGTCATTTCTGGTATTTTTGGTTATTTAAAAAAAGCTATTTTTGTATATACAACTACTAATATTTTCATCTATCAGGAAAAATATTATAGCTTTCACTAATTCAACTAAATAGTTATTAATAAGGTAAAACACGTCAAGCACCATTTTTTTGCAACTAGAAATTTACCATGTATAGCATATTAGTCAAAGGAAAATAGAACTTCTAAAGCACCTCAGCATCAGCTTACAATGAGATATCTAGAAGAATATGCACAGTTCTTTACACTACATAAAATCACACCGCAGAAGACACACGTGTGTTAGCAGTAGTAGCAAGGGCCCAGTGAACGACCTGAGAAGCATTTGCATTGCCTGGGACGGTCCCTGCTCATTTAGTCTGAGCCATTTGTGAAGACTGGCACTAGCCGCCTGCCCCCAGCAAATGACAGTTCATGCAGAAAGCTGTACTTGAACTGCCTAGCTCTCATTTTCCAAATGCAATCTGAAAACTGTTCACTTAGATACCTAAAAGCACTGCTTGTTTTTCCATTTTCCTCTCCAGTAATTCTTTTAAACTCCCATCTCTGTGCTTGAAGTATAAGTAATCAGAAAAAGAGGGGCCCCGCGGGGTGCTCTGAAGAGCCCTGAGGCTGAGACTCTCGTCCCTGCGGGCGCAACCCTCCTCTGCCCCACTGTCGCCCTTGCTCCCCTCCTCCCACTCTTCTCTGGGCACGTCCTCCTCCTCCTCCTCCTTGCAGGCTGCCCCCTGCGCCCCTGGGGCCTGCTCAGGCTTGGCGGACAGATCCCTGGGCGCGCAGCGCTGCTGGCGGTGGGGACCCAGGCCAGGGCTGTAGGGCTCCACCTCGTAGCAGTTGTCTTCGTCGTCGTCCTCGTGGCAGGGGCTGCCCCGGGCGCTCTCGCCATCCGACTGGAACAAGGGCCCCTTGGCCCCGCGCTTCTGAGACAGGTCGAAGGGCTCCTCCTGCTCCAGACTTCGCAGGACACCGGCCGTCTGCGCCAGGGCGATCCGCCCCCTTCCCAGACCTGGCGGAGCAGAGCGAGAATTCAGGGAAGTGGGACCTGGTGGGGTGCGGACCCAGTGCCCCGGTACATATTCTGACGGCGCATTTTAAAAACGAATCATTCCCAATAAAGGTGAAGACATGGGAGGCTTGTCACAGGCACTTTCTAAATCGGTATAATCCCTTTAAGGTGAATTTGGCAACATGCACCAAAAGCTTTTAAAAATAAGCTTTGACTTAGCAATTCAGCTACTGAGAATTTAAACTGTAAAAAAATAGACAGGCAGGTGCACAAAACGTATGTGTAAGAATGCTTATCACCACATTTTTAATTATAGTGAAACTGTGAAAACGAGTTTTGTATTTAACAATAGAGGTTCAGTTAAATAAATAATGGTATAGCCATACAATGAACCACGTGTAGGTGATGCAAAGACTTACTAATGGTCATAAAAAGCTATTCTCTATATATTTTAAGTAAAAAAACATATATACCTATGTATGTATGTATATATTTACAATATAGACCTAATTTTATCTAGCTAGCTATTTCTATAAAAAAAAATGCCTGGAAGGATATATGCCAACATCCCAAAATTGAGGAACATTTTCTTTTAGTAATAACTTCTAATGTATTTCTTATTTTATTTTTTACAATGAGCATGTATTTTTCCATAAGAAAAAAGTAAAGCAATAAAAAAGGTATTTTCATCTTGAAGGAAACAGATTCCATCTGGGGCTGCGGAGGCTGTCCCAGGACTGTGGGCCCATGCACTGACAGAGCACAGAGAGGTTCTCCGGGGACCCCATAAAGTCCCTGCTGTTGGGCACAGTGATTTGGGGGTCCTCTGTGTTCATTTCTGTTTGAGTGCCTGTAGGGCTGGGCTTTTCGGTGTGGTAGTGTGTCATTCGATTGGATCTGTAAGGCCCTGAGGAATAGTCAGGGATGCTAAAGAGGAAAAATAGGAAGGGAGGGTCCTGGGGTGCAGCCCGACCAGGCTTCTGGGGAGAGGGTGTACAAAGGAAAAGTAGGGGCGCTGACGCCCAACTTTGCAGATTTGTGGTATTGTCAGGCAACAAAGCTGTTTGTATTTTTAATCTTGTCAGGGGAGAGAGAGGACCTTTTTAATGATTTTTGAGCCATTTCGAAAACTAGTAGTGAAAAAAAAATGCTAACACCTTTTGTACAAGAAAACACTAAAATTGTTGAAAATCTGTTAAAATTTTTCGAAGCAACCCTCTGACATATAGTGATGTTCTTTATTTTTCCAGAATGACAGAGCCATTTGGTGCCCTTTAGGATCTGGGCGCCAGTGTGGGGCACATCCCAGTAACCAGGCCAGGCTTTGAGCTGGAGCGTTTTCTCCTCCTCATTGCCTTGTGCGTCTCCTGTCCTGAAGACGGAGCACACTTCACCTCTTCTGGAAAAATCCAGGCCTCACTGGGGAAGTGGCTCAGGCAACTAGAGAGTCAATGAATAATTCAAGAGAAAAACATTCTCAGGAAAAAATTTGCCTTTTTTTTTTTTTAACCAGGATTGTTTCAGGGCTTTTGCATAAAGTCCAGCCCTTGCTTTGTGATGACCCAAGAGTCACCATGCACTCAGTGCGTGCTGTGAAAACCGGAAAGCTACGACCATTTTGTTTATGCTGTATGTGCATATGTGTGTCTGATTTCCGAATGTGTGTGCTCATTTGACTCCCTCTTTGGTAAGGGAGTGGGAGAGGCAGCAAACACAAACATATCACCCCACGTTTCTGCCTAGGGGAGTGAGCACTGGCTCGATTTAGAAAATCTTGAGTTGGAATCCCAGTTCTGTCTTCTGACTTGCCATTTGACCTTGAGCAGTTTATGTCATACCTCTAGGCCTGTGTCTCCTCTTAAATGATAATGACATGGTATCTTTCATGGAATCATAGCATTAATACGATTTTATAAATTACATGTAATCCCTCCACAGACCTCCTAGAGAGAAAGGTGGTCTCATTCCCCTCATACCTGCCACTGTGTGTAGCTCACTATGTTGGACAGAGGTGCATTTATTGCCTGTTTATTGCAGGACTGGTTGATTAAGTGACTAAGGAGCAACCCTGCTGAATTCAGGAGATCTGGAACATACTCTCTTCACTGCTAAGGTCCCTGGGATGGAGAAGGTAAAAGAGACCTTTTCAATAGTTCGGCTGGGACTCAGCTGGGGAGATGTAAGCCCCTGCTCTGCTTATGGCCTATCGGCCTATCTGCCTGAGCAGGAAAACCCTCCTTGGGTGCATCTGGGTGTGAATGGGTAGGGGAGACCTAGCCTGCTACAACACGCTTCTACTAACAGCAGAGCTTGCAGACCTGTTTCTAAAAAAGAAAGAAAAATCACATGTCCATTAACAGCAATGTGATGAAGTGGATTCAATAAAGGCCATAGAGTCAGAAAGGTCTGGGTTCGTATCCTGACTCTGCCACTTTTCAGTTGAGCAACTTTGGGAAAATTCATCCCTTAAAGCCTCATTTCCCCGTCTGTAAAAGAGAGACAACAGAAGTCCCTCCAGGCTGGAGTTGCCATGAAGATTAAGGGAGAGAAGATGTCTGAGGCAGTGTCTGGAACAAAGGAACCAAAAATGGTACCGGCTGGCACTGGCATCACTATTATTATGTCCCAATTTAGTCTAATTCACTTTTACTTGCCTCCTACAGATATCAGCGTTATATTTCTCCTAGTAGCGTTCTAAATCTCTTCCTGCTACTCTGCTGTGGTCTGGAAAATTATGCTCCCCTTTTTGATTAAAGGCTAAGCTCCCTCCCAAAGCAATGCCCCATAAACCCAAATGCTGCTCTCACTTGTTCCCCACTGGACTGACCAGGCAGTACGGGGCTCCCGCCGAGCCGAGTGGTTACCTTGGGAATGAAGGCCCCGCTCCATGACACCGTGCTTGACCTTCATGTGGCGTGTCAGGTTCCCCTTCAGGGTGAATTTGCTGGGGCAGTAGAGGCACTTGAAGGGTTTGCTGTCTGAGTGCAGGTGCATGTGGCCCATCAGGTTGTGCATCCGGTTGAATTCCTTCCCACATAGCTGTCCGAGACAGAGAGGAGGAGAACACAGGTTACCCTGCCAGCGTGAACCCCATCCAGGCCCACGAAGGACAGAAGTGCTGCAGCCCACACCACTTCTACTTAGTTTGGACGTTGGCATTTTAAACTGCTTCCAAAAAAAAAAAAAAATATTTCCATAGAAGTCCGGAAGAGGCAAGATTCTGCTGTGCCTCAGAGGCGGGGCAGGTAAAGATAGATTCACAAGATTTGTTGCTGGAACACAGGAATCTTTACACTTGAGATAAACACCTCAACGTTTGCAAAGCTTCTTTTGAATAAAACCTTTGGGAAAGGAGAAATGCTGATCTGACAAGCAGTGACTAAAAGTATGCTGCCTTTACTAATATGGATAGAATCATGTGTTTAATATTTACGGAGCATTTATAATGTGGAATGCATTGTTCTAAGTCTGCCATGAAATATTTAATTCTACCAATCCAATGAGACAGGTGCTGTTATCATCCCCATTTTATAGATGGGCAAGCTGAGGGCTTAAGTCACTTGGCCAAGTCACACAACTAGTGGGTGCTGGGGCTGGGACAGTGAACTCAGGCCATTGGACACCAGAGGCCACAGGGTCAACCACCACACCATACCGTGTCTCCCCCAATATAAATCTTCTATTAGACTGTATCAGGAAATGCTTTTCCAATTTTTAAATTTGCTAATTATTGGGATGGATTTGAAAGTTAAAAAGAGCAAACAGACATCTAAAGGTGGAATGTGTCTGTTCTCTGGGTAGAAATCTGAAGTAATAAGAGTATTATCTCAGGTAAACAATAAATAAACATGTTTTATGCATCTCTTTTTCATCATTTCTTTTTTTTTTCTTTTCTTTCTTTTTTTTTTTGAGACACAGTCTTGCTCTGTTGAAACAAATAGTGTACAGTGGTATCATTGTAGCTCACTGCAACCTCAAACTTCCGGGCTCAAACATCCTCCTGACTCAGCCTCCCTAGTAGCTGGGACCAGGCACACACCACCACACCTGGCTAATTTTTCAATTTTTTGTAGAGACAGGGATCTAGCTCGTCTCAGGCTGGTCTCAAACTCCATGCCTCAAGCCATCCTCCTGCTTCAGCCTCCTGAGTAGCTAGGATCACAGACACGCACCACCAAGCCCACCTAATTTTTTTCAATTTTTTGTAAAAATAGTCTTGTTCTTGCTCAGGCTAGTCTTGATCTCCTAACCTCAATGATCCTCCCACCTCAGCCTCCCATAGTGCTAGGATTATAGGCATGAGCCACTGGGCCTGGCCTTTTTCATCATTTCTATTTCTATGCAAATATATGATGGCCTACAACAGTGATCCTCCATCTTTTTTTGGAAAAGCAGAATCTTCTTTTCAAGGGCAAGTGTAAACCAGAAGTAGCTGCTTGGGTGAGGGGGGTGCTTTTGTTGTCCCCAAGCTTTAGTAGAGTGGGGTTTGGAAACTCTAGCCCTTCCTAGGCTGTGCTGGATTTTGTGTTTGTGCTTGGAGCAGAGGGTTTAGGGAGGAGCATTCTCCTTCCCTCCCCAACCTCAGAGGCCAGTGTGGCTGGGACGGCAATATGTGGTGAGAGATGCCAGGGAGAGAGGACTCGAGGTGTAGCATCCTCTGACACTTACATCAGTTCTCCTTTCTCACTGAGCTATATTTTCAGGACAACACTGGGGATTCTGGATTGAATTTTTATTAATGAAGGCAACACTTTCTTCAGGTGGCTGTGGAGGTGTGGGTTGAGCTGGCCTTGGAAAAGTGGGTAGACCTAACGAATGATGATTTGGGGAGACTAGCCTACAAGAATGCCGGGTGGTAAGAGGAAACCAGCCTGGGATTATGCATTTGCCACAGATAACCCACATATGGATAATGAATGGCTCTGTATTTTTGAATGATTCATATTTGGGGATTTTGAAGTACTTTCCCCCTTTTGCTTCCTTACTAGTAAGAATGAATTTGGCATACTGGATGGGGTTCCAGGCTCAACAGCCAGAGTACCTGTGCACCACACTCATGGAAAATGGTGACCCAAGGGGGGGCAGGATGAGAGAGTTGGTCTAACCCCAACTTCCTCCAGAGAAGCAATCCATGGGATGGATACTTGTTTTCTTTTAGTCTCAATAGAGATAACTTATTAAGATGTATCAATCTGGGGCTAGGTTGTTTATTAGCTTAGTTTATCCACTTCTCCATCAGGGCTAAGGGGCAAAAGCTTTGAACCTGGAGATTCTACATTAGGTATTTCTATTCATGGGTCATTTTTAGAAAAAGTATACCTCACTGGGTTTGTGGGATGGTTCCTGATTATTTGGAGTGGCGTTGTTATTGCATTTGCTGAGTATGACCAGAATTTGTTTCAGATATCTTCTCACCCAGTAGGCTGAAACATTCATGAAGGCTCTGCCGGGCTTTTTATTGTATTCCCTGCCTAGTCTTAGCTTGACACATGATAAGTCCTCAGGAAAGATCTGTTGAGTGAGTAAAGGGGTGGAGTCTCTTGCAGCAGACAAATTCATGAAAGAAAAAGCTGTGAGTGGTTAGTTTCAAGGTGTGTAGAGGGAGAGAAGCTGAAGGCTGGCAGATCGATTAGGCTACTGCTCTAGTCCAGGCACGAATGGGGTCTAATGGTCCTCCAGGCCAGAGAGAGGTCATTGAAAGCAAGCAACGGGTGCCTTTTGCACTTGGCTCCCACAATGGGAGGAACTTCTCTTTCAGCTATTATCTGTGGTTGCTGAGGTATCACAAGCTGGGCTGGTCTGAAAGGGTTTTATAAAGGAGTTGGGATTTTAGCCCAACCTTGAAGAATGTTAGAGTGTACTTTGTTTTTGTTTTGACTCAAGGATAAATTCTCTTCATTAGATATTTTCTGACAATTCAGTCAACCCTACACCACAAGCAAGGTAACGATCAGCTGCTTGTTGCTGCCACACATGCTGAGACTTTGGGGGCAGTGCAGCCTCTGCAGTTCACCTGCCCAAGGTCACGTCTAAGCCCAACTCCACACGCAGAGGCGTGCACTCATTGTAATGGTGTCTGGGGCTCTAAACAGCACCCCAAGTAGTCTCCGATGCAAGGGCTGCCTTCCCTGTCCATGTAGCCAACCTCAGTATCAAGCCCAGGGCTACACCCACAGTGCACTTCACTAAGTATCTAAGTATTTGACTGGGGAAATAAACAAATGAGTCCGGAAAATATCATTACCTCATGCAAAGTTCTAAAGAGCAGCTCTCTTCCTTCCCCCATTACTCCAATACAGATTAATTTGCAAGCTAAAAGCCTCAACGGCAGGAGAATAAAGCCAATTCACTCAGGACCTGAGGTGGCTGGGCTCCATTCCCATCTTGGTGGTAGGCATCTATGTCCCTCCTCTCAGCTCTGACCCTCCACAAAGCCCTTTGGTTCTTATCTAGAACATCTTTCTTGGAAGATGGCCCTCACGTGACAACACATAAGTGCATAGAGATATTTCATGTCTGTGGAACTCAGAGAGACACCTCTCGGACACTGTTAGTGAAGAGAGGCCAGACAAAGAGGATGGTGAATGACAGTGCTCTTGGGTGGAGTTGGATGTGAGCTCTGCGCAGAGTCGCTGCGCTGTGGGAGGGGGGGGAGGAGAGCTGGGCTGGAGGGAAGAGGAACGCAGCCATGGAAGCCAGGGCCTCCTTCAACCAGAGACATGAAGTCAGGACTTGCTGAATCATCTCCTGCCAAGGTCTGTGGACCTTAAAATAGGGGTGGGTGTTGGTGCAGGAAGCCACCGCAGTGGTGAGGACACTGATTCCGTCTTGCAGGTGGTCATCCCAACCGGCATGTCCCCCGCTTGAACTCTCGCTCACGCCAATGGGCAGCATCCATGTGCCTCTGACATCACATCTCAGTTCTCCAGCCACCCGCTTTCTAAGAGGGAGGTGGCCCTCAAACCTGAATAAAAAACTGAAACACAACACATACTTGGAACTTCCCTTTAAAAATGGGTTGCGTGGATCATTAGGCTATAAGAGGCCAGAGCAGAGAGATGTTCTCATCTGTCCAATGTTGATGATAATCATTGTTTCTCAGATTTGTTGTTGTGAAGATCAAAGGAGCTAATTGATGTAAAGGGCTTGCCAAATAGTCAAAGCACAATAGATAGCTGCTATTACTATCACTGTCGGTGAACACAGTAGGTTCTCCTACATGTCAGAAATGGAAAGGCCTTTGTAGCTGAGGAGAGTATTGAAGGAAGAACCAAATGAGGAGTCCGCTGGGTGAATGCCTGACAGGTTACTTGAGGCACAACAGCAATGCAAGCAGCTGTGCCTGCCCCAGCACTGGGAAGTGTGGATGGAAAGAGAAGATTCGTCCTAGATTGCAGCCCATTATCTGGCTCTCCCAGTCCTCCGTCTGCCTTTTGAACAGCTGGCAGATGTCCCGTTTGCTCCAGGCCTCCTGGTGCCCTTTTCCTCCCTGGTCCAGGGCCTGGAGGCCCCTCTGGCCCTTCCCACCAGCCCCGGGGGCTGTGCTGACAGCCAGCAGCCGTGGAGAGGTGGGCTGTGGCCAGGGACAGGGTGATGGCAGCGGGCAGCCCCTGGGCTGGGGCCAGAGGCCGCAAAGCCAGAGCAGCACACTCCCTCGCCCTGAGCAGCCTGATGGGAGCTTCAGAACCGAGATGCACCAGGAAGCCTGTGTTTTCCTGTTCTGAGAGAAAAGGTCAGAGAGCCGCGGCCTGCCACTGAGGAGAGCGGCCTCCGCTCAGCTGCCTTCCCTCACTCACATTCTTCTCCCTCTCCCGCTTTTCATAAGAAGGGTGTTCCTTTCCTCAAAGGGAGAGAGAGGGAGGGAGGGAGAGAGAGACTGTAAACTGTCCAAAAGGACCGTGAGAAAACAGGAAGCTTTGAAAAGTACAAGAGAAAGCAAGATGAAATCTATTTGCAGGCGGGCCCCTGGGGACATGCGAGGCATTGTTAAGCAGGCAGTTCATACAGCTATATCCTTCCTTCTGCCGAGGAGGGCTTCGCTGCCAAAAGGCTGCTATCTGGTCACTGCCTTAACCCCCTCAATGCCAGCCTGAAAATCCTGACCCCGAGCATAGGGGTCCCCGAAGTCCCCCATCGGATTTCTCCCATCTTAGAGCATCCAAGAGCGTGAGGGGAAGACGGAGCCGGTTGGGCAGGGGTGGTGGGGACCTTTGGAGAGAGACCTCATCCCTTTTCTAACAGCTCTGTCCTCCGGCCTTCAGCCCTCTGTGGCAGACAAGGCTGCAGATGACCTGGTGATTCATAACTCAGGCAGCTCCCGGCTTCACCCATCTCAAAAGAGAATTAGTCCCGGAAATTCTGGATGGCTGCTGCTTTTCCTGGACAGGTTTCCCAAAGACGGCAGCTGGCTCTTTGCTATCAGGGAGTGCGGCCGCTACAAGGATAGTACCCAAATCAACCCAGGAGTGCTTACCCAGAATCTGGGAGGCATATTTCTGAAAAGTGGCTTACGTCTACAGGCACAGGTCTGTGGAAACACTCCAGCTGGCTCCAAGAAGCAAAGAGCCCAGAACTAGAGCCAAGAGCAAAAGAGCCCAGAAGGGCAGTAACTGTTTTATAAGGGGGAAAAGAAAAAAGAAAAAAAGACAGATGGAATGGAAACCTTTCTGCTCTTCTAATTTTCCATCCTATTGTTAATGCCTAAGCCCACAGTGAGCGAACATTTCTGCTTGCTAGAGACAGCTGTTTCCACTGAGCACAGGGCTGGAAAGAACCAGTTTGTGTCGAAACAGGAGGTGGGATTTATGTGAGGAAGAATTTTAATGGTGAAAATCCCAAGAATTTAGAATCTGTTATTATAAGAATCTTCCTTGATGTGAGTTTTGGGGTAAAGGAGGTAGAGCTAGCTCTTGCAGTGTGTCTGGAGTGAGTCCTGCCTCTTCTGTCCAGCCATTTCAATCGTGGGAAGTGAATAACTCTTCCCTGTTACCACAATAAAGCTTGAGCTCAGGCATCTGGGCCTGTTCTCCAAATCATTGAGCAGCCAGCCAACCATTCATCTGGGATGGCCATGGGCCACAGAGTGACAAGTATGTGGCCCTCCATCCCCCTTCTGCATCCCATGCCCCCAGCAACTGCCACCCAGGGCTTGATTTCCAAGAATCCAGCATGGCACGGATGGGAAGCAAGGTCCACAGGACACCATCTCGAGATGGCCCACCCCACAGTGGGATCTGGAGCTAGTTTACGAACATGAAGAGACTTGTTACCTGATCTGGGAACTCAGACCTGCTCTGAAAGTCTTTTGAAATGAAGAAGGGTGATGGTTCCAACAGGACACCAAGTAGGCTCCAAGGACACTTTGCAGGGAGAGGAAGAACCTGGCAATATGCCTTCGGCACTTTCTGGGTCAAGGTGATTGACACCCATTCTTGTTTCAGAAATGTCTAAGAACAGAGAAGGGCCACCTAATTTCGACAAGAATGCCCTTTTATGTCCAATTCTTTTTGTCTAATGATAGATAACACTCTCTAGGCAGCCTCCTGACCTATAGTGTGGTCTCCTGAGGGGACTTACCCACCAAGAAGAAGGGATCTTTGCAAATGACCAGTCCCATTCCTGTGCTGGGCCCATCTCCCAGTGTAACATATAAACTGTGCATTGTTTCAAAGCTGGCATTCTACTTTATAAATTACTATCAACTACTCTCTCTTATGGGTTCTGATGGTGTGGACCAGACATCCGGAGCCTCATCAACTCTCAAAGAAGGGGTAAAATGGAGTTTCTGAGCGGTAAAGCTGACCACCAGACACTCTTTGAGCCACGCATGGGGCACCACCATTGGGGGGCAGAAGGAGGGGGTGCCATTGGTGAAGGGAGGCCTGAAGCATCAAGCTGGCGTGGCTCACTGCATCTCAGGACCCAGGCTACATCACACCATGCAGTCTTCTGTGCACTGGTACTAGAGAGAACCCTCTAGATCCTTAGATACTACCTGGCTAAGAAATCATCCAGGCCCCCTGAGGGTAGAGAAGCAGAACTGCCTCTGTGCCCCCACATCATACACAGCCTGCATTGGCTCTGCCCCCTGACATATCCCTACATTTCGGGGACATTTTCCAGCTGGTCATACCACTTACTGCTGGACCAGAATTGATGAAGCGGAGGTGGGAGATGGCTGGACTGGACAGGTGTGGAGTTTTAGGGGACTCTGAACTATGCTAATGGCTCCCTTCATGTTTTAACAACTTTACTCCATCAACAGTCCATGAGATGAAAAATACAGTTCATGCTTGAAGCTCAAGAGTAAACTTAACACAAGGAATGAAGAAGAGCAAAGAGACCTGCTTGCACCTCCATTGTAGAAGACATGAAACCCTTTGCAGGAAGGAACAGCCCTGTTCAATGTGAAGTGCTCTGGGGGCTCAATGATATAAAGAAATGCCCCAAGAGAGAAAGAAGAGGTGGTCTGCTGCATGAGTATGCAGCACAGCGTCCATACTCAGGGGGTCCTCAGTTTGGTTTAATGCTCCACTGTCATCATCTTGAAATTCCTAATAATGTTGGAGCATGGGGCCTTGCATTTCCATTTTGCAGAGGCCCTGAAAATTATGTAGTTCATCCTGCACGCAGCAGCTTACTCCCTCTTTAGATGGACATAAATTGACTTTCAAGCCACTGGAAACTTGAAGAAAAGGAGGGGAAACAGAAGTGGGTGGCAGGAAAAGGGCTGGAGGGAGAAGCCTCCCTCTCCCCCCTCCGGACAATGCCCGTGCAGGTCTAGGGAAGCTCTGCTTGCTGACCCCTCACCCCATCCAAGAGTTGCCAACACAGGAAAGAAGTCAGCTTCACAGGGGATTCCTTTAGCGGGGACACACGGCAGAGGCTACAGCAGGAACAGCCCCTGGAAGCAGGGAACCCGGCTTCAGGAATATGGATCAACAGAGAGCACCATTTGGACCCATCAGGTACACAGTATGAAGGAAAGAAAACTTGCGGTTTGAGCAGATGGGCTCTAATGACATCCGAATGTGGTGTTTTCCCTCTTCTTCCCCCCTCAGCCCTCTTCGTGACCGGGCGACATGCGCTGGTAGGTTGCTTGAATTAAACCCAATCATGAGCAAGATTCCCTCTCATTGCAGAGGTGGAGAAGGGAAGCAATGTTGGGGCTTGGGGACAGCCCTGAGCAGCCCAAGCGTTTCCGAGTCATGCCCGGGTGGTGCCTGGGGCTTCGCTCATCTCCAGCTCACACATTTCCTCAGCTGATGAAATAAAAACCCAACCTAACCAAGTTAGTGAGACACAGAGACTTTCACAGAGATGCTCCATCTCTGTGCTACATGGTACTTACGCACAAACGACAAACACTTTGAATGACTGTGCTTGCAGTTATGCCACGGCCCAAGCAAGCATTTCTGAGGGCCTCCCAGGGGCTAGCTCCCTGTCGTCCTCTCTGGGCAGCCTGCCCTCACATATACCCATGGCTCAGCCCAAATGTCAGGAGGGAAGGAGGGGAGGAGGGGAAAGGAGAAGGGACTGTGCTGGAAGCTTCTCTAGCTCCTTTCTGTGTCCTACTCGCTAACTTGCAAGGCGAAGAGGGCCGTACCTGGTTTGTCCTCTCTACAGCAAGAGCTTTCCACGTCACCTTCATCCCTTAACAATCTCATCTCCAAATGGGCCCCCCACTCTCAGGACTTTCCCTACTGCCTGCCTCCACCCCTGAGCACTCTGGGACCAGGCTGGCTGGAGCATGAGTGTGGTGGCCAGAGGGACAGAGCAGCAGATGGGACCTGGGGCTGGCTGTGGACCCACTCTGGGGCTCTGAGCCCCAGCAGCACCACTGATGAGTAGAGTAGAAGGTTCTCTGGGGACCTTTCCCTATTGGGCATTTGCACAACCCTCTGGGTCCTCCCCAGGCCGCCACCCACCTTGCATTTGAAAGGCTTCACATCCGAGTGGACAATCATGTGCGCTTTGAGGGTCTGTTTCTGCACGAAGCTCTTGTAGCAGAGGTGACACTGGTAGGCACGGATGTTGGTGTGGATCAGCACGTGGCGCTTCATGTTGGCCAGCAGGGTGAACTCCCGCCCGCAGATGCCACATTTGTGCTCCTTTACGCCCTGCAGGGAGACAGGATTCAGAAAAGCGGGGGCTGACAGGAAACACACTTTCACTGGGGTTACAGGCTTCGCTTTGCTCTATGCCACCTAAATCCACAAAGGACTTGGTCATAGATGTGGAGCTTCAAATGGTGACACTTTAGCCTTGTTAAATTACTATTTTCTTGAAATCTATTGATTGCATGATCTTTTTTTTTTTTTTTCATTTGAAACCCATAAACTAGCCAGACCACTAGAGCAAAAGAAAAGCTATTGCTTCTGCTGTTCCTGCTGCTGCTGGGGTTAATTCTACAGGAATAGTTCTTGGGAATTAATAGGATTTTGGTAAGTGCACTGTAGAATGATATGCAAAATGAGTCTATAATCCAGCTTTAAGGATAATGAAAAAAGCAAAATCTTCTAAACTGATTATTATCATTTCCCTCCTGAAAACCAATGCCCTCTTGAGTTCTCATTAGTGGACTTGAAAATCTCAGAAGAGCAAAGCATACAGATACACACTTCAGCAAATTATAACTTGACAATCACCCTCTCGAGTTGGTCCCCTGGGTTCCCATAGGCCATGCTGACTGTGTGTGACATGGTTATAGAGCCTCCTCTAAGCCAGCCACTTTCTACAGGGACATTTGGCAGATAGCTGTCTAAACTAGAAAACAGGAGGGGAGGTTTTCTAGCTTCCTTGCCGAGTTGGGAGGAGTGTTTGATACTTTAGCATCAATACCCTCCATTAAGAGCACTTCCAGGGACTCAGCTTGAGTAGAGCACCCGCTAACCCTGATTAACCACCACTTTCCTGAAAAGGTCTTTGTAAGACATCTTGACCCAGAATGACTTTGGGGAAGAAAAACTTAGAGAACCACCACACTAAAATGAAGGTTATTCCAGGATTAGGACAAGTTACTTAGTTAACAACTGAACATTATAAAACATACATTGCCTGGTATCTGTAGTGGCTAAGGAGGAAAGGATTCCAAGCTCAAGTCTGACTCTCTCTGCCTATATTTCCATTTCTTTAATTTGGGGCATGGTAAAAAACATATTGGTCTTCAGTTCTGGTGAGCCCAGGGCATTAAAGGGTGGATTCAGGTCTCTGTCCCACCATTTACTGCCTGTGAAGCTTCAGATCACTTCCACAGCCCTTCCTGGTGAAGACTTTTCATCTCAAGATGGAAGCGGTGATCGTGACAACTTTGGGGTTATTTCCAGGTCAAACCTTCTGTAGTCTAGATGATTGCAGGTACATGTGGATTTATGCTAAGAAAGAGATTTAGAAATCAACCTCCTTCAAAAATTAAATTTAATGTCCCCCCCCCAAGAAGATGAATTTTTAAAATGCAGTGCATACTCAAACAGTGAGTTTAAAGTTGTCAAATTAATGAAATATATTTTCTTAATGGGTTTCAAAATTTCTTCTCTCAAGATTCTCTTTGGGCTTGACCATGATCCAGGTGTCATGAAAACCAAGGGAAAATCTCTACTTATCACTGGTTTTGGAATTCTTTAAAGAGACTTGTGCATCCAAAGTAGGATTCACATGTGGGCTGGCCTAGAATGCAAGTGAACAGGAGCCTGGACACAACTTTGGGGCAACAAAGGAAGCTGTTGTTTCTCTGATAGGATCAGAGAAATCACAGAGAGCCTATGAGGGTGGAAGAAGGGATGTCTTATGATAGAGTGTTCAAGATTCAGGTGCTGGTGTCAGAGACCCCTGAGTGACCTCACCATCCCCTGGTGTCCCTATCTGCAAATCAGGAGTAGCTCTTAGAGTTTTTGAGAAGCAAATGAGGATTAAATGGAAAATAAAACACCTGCCATACAGCAAGTTTTCAATAAATACTACCTCTCAGGCTGACGCCTCTAGTTAGAATGTATTTTTACTAATTCGAATTTTCCTAATTCGAATGAAACTTATTTTAGACAATAGGCTGTTTCTCCCATTTTGACTTTATTTTCTACTATCCCATGGAATCTTGTATGTTCTAAAATGCACCTTTGATCCCTTTTCCACATGGGCAGGAGCCCCTGAAATAAGCGAATGGCCCCCTTTGTGGCTGATTCTCAGTCTAGGTCCTTTGTTGATGGTTCCTGCACGTGACAGACACCAAACCTCTGAATGGTAACTACAGGTGCCTTTTGTAGGGCAGGCCACACATTTCATCTCTGCTGCAGAGCCAGAAAAATGCCCTGTGTTTTGTCCTAACCTAATGAATGACACTCATTATAGCAGAGCAGAAACACTATCTTGGCTGGGCAAAGTCCTCCACTGACCTTTCAGAATTAAAGAATGTTTTAGAAACTCCAGCTTGCTAAGATTCTCTTCTGCAAAGAAAACCACTTGAGGTCGAGGGTGTGAGGGTAGGGGTTAGTGGGTCAAGACTCCTGTCTTGGAAGCTCAAAGAAGACCCAAGTCGGCTTAGCTGGGGTAGGATTTCAGGGATACCACTAGGGCCTGGTTTTAATTCAACCTGAATGACTCCAAGGCTTTGGCTGCAAACTAGGTTAGACTCAAGACTCTTGGGCCTGTATTTCTCCTAGAAGACCTGAGTGCAGGGAAGATAAAACCAAACCCCAAACAGAGAAGAATGCTCTCTCCTGCCTTCTACAATACAAACCACAAGACACTGAACCCAACCAGGAAGGGGCTCAGCCCAGGGAAGCACAGGCCCTGCTGGACTTGGCCAACCTCTGCTCCCCTCGGAGACCCTGCCTATGAAGCAGGTCTCACAGCTGAGGGAGAAAACAAACCAAAGGTAGCCACTGCTTAGACAGCAAAAGACCAAGAGAATTCTCTAAAAAGAAGGCTCTCACTGGTACATCCCAGGCACAGCGGTGATCTGTGCTAGTGCCCTGGATGAAGCTTCTAGAAACTGAACTATAGGGATTCCTGGGGACTGGGAAGCAACAGCACGACAAGCAGCTGTTTCCTTCATCCTTCCTCACCCTCCTCTGCAAATGTCTGCATTGTTTCTCTCTAGGCTGCCTTAGACTCTGGAAGGCTGGTTGAGGCAAGGGTCTGATGTATGGTCTCTAGTCTCATCCTTCCCTCCTATTTAAAGGCAAGGAAGGACCTCGGGGCTGGGGTAACGGAAGCCGCGTGTCCAGGGTAAGCGCTCCTCGGGGTCAGAGGTGGGGAGCAGTGCGGTGTCCCCCGCGGGCCCGCAGTACCTTGTGGGTGAGGGAGTGCTGCTTGAGGTGGTGGGGCTGCACGAACTCCATGCCGCACTCGGAGCAGATGTAGGGCCGGATGTCCTTGTGCTTCATCATGTGGTTCTGCAGCTGGCTCGGGTACTGGAAGGACTTGTCGCACTCGGAGCAGTTGTACTGGATGGGGCCGCGGTGCGTGGTGAGGTGCCTCTTGAGCTGGGCCAGGGTGGGGAAGTCGAGGCCGCACTCCACGCAGATGTTCTCCCGCCCGCTGGCGTGCTTGGCCTCGTGGGCCTTGAGCTCGCTGGGGTAGGCGAAGCCCCGGCCGCACACGCGGCAGTTGTGCGGCTTCACCTCGCTGTGCTGCATCATGTGGCGCTTCAGGTGGCTGGTCTGGGTGAAGGCCTTGTGGCACACCTGGCATTTGTGCGGCCGCGTGCCCTGGTGGGTCAGCATGTGGGTGTGCAGGTGGCTGAGCTGCTTGAAGAGCTTCCCGCAGCGGGTGCACGCGTGCGGCTTGATGCCGCTGTGGCCCAGGATGTGCGTCACCAGGTTGTACTTGGAGGTGTAGGACTTCTCGCAGGTGGGGCACTGCCAGCGCTTCTGCGCGCCGCCCACGTCCACGTAGTAGCTGTCGTCGATCTGGACGTTGACGTCCACCCTCTCCACCTTCTGCTTGGTCTCCTCGCTCTCCTGGGGCTCGGCTTTGCGGGGCAGCAGAGGCTCCGGGGCCTGCTTGGGCAGGAAGGTGTGCCGGCTGAAGGGGAAGGGCGAGGCCGAGGGCACGAACAAGGGGAACACGAGGCCCGGGTGGACTTTGGGGTAGCAGGGGAAGGGCGTGGGCAGGAACGGAGCGGGTGTCGGCTGCGGCCACACGGCGCTGGGCTTAATGGGCTCCTGCTTGACGGGCCTGCCCCCCAGGTGCTCCAGGCTGCGGTAGAACTGGAAGCCCACGTTGCACAGGTCGATCATCTGAGAGTCGTACTTGGGGCGCGGGGGCTGCGGGAACAGCAAAGGCAGGTTGGGGAGGCCGTGGGTTTTGCTCTCCTCGGAGTGGAGGGCGGCAGTGGCTTCTCCTGCAGGGTGGCTGTAGGGCATCTTCGTGGGCATGCTCTTCCGTTTCCGAGACCCACCTCCCTCGAAGACCCCGGGGAATCCGTCTAGATCTCCTGGAGGAGGTTCATACCGGAACTGGGAAAAGGGTCCCCGGAGAGCTTCTGGGAAGGGGTGTCTTGGGGGGGCTTTCCCTCGGGAAGCCCCTGGCTGCAGGCAGTGGGGAAAGGAGGGGGTCCTCTTCACACCCAGGTTGAAATGCATATCCTCATCTTTGATCATCTTCATTTCCTTCTGCATCCTTGGCAATTTTCCTTTAAAGAAAAAGAAACTTATTGTGGGGTTTTGTTTTAAATCCTCTTTTTCATTAAGGGTTTTGGCTACTTATCAGTATTAATATAAGAAGAGTAATACTTATTTAATACGGACCCTGGTTTATTCCAGAACTATTCAAAATATCACCTTTTTTTCTCCTTGTAAACCCAGTTACTAATGTGGAAACCACTGGCCTCCCGGAATGGGACCCCAGGGCCCAGTCGAACTTGACTCCAGTGTAAACCCAGCTACAGAGCCGCAGGGGTGGTGGGGAGTGGGAGTGGACTTGTTTGGGAGGAACCTGAGAACTCAGCTGGTACTGCCCCCATTTAAGATGAGGGTAGCAAGGCCCAGAGGGATGAAATGATGTGCTCAAATCACACAGCCACTCAGTGGAGGAGTTAGAGCTGAACACGTTCTGCTGCAGCTTTTCAATCTGACATGTCATTATTTCTGCCAACGGTGATTCAAATGTGTCTCTCTCAGTCATTTGTTATGTAAGGAAACCCATTTTCACTGCTACACCTTTACTCAGACCTTTGCTGCTGGAAGATGGGGCTATTCAAGGCCACGTAGGAGAGGGAATGTTAATGCTCAATGGGGATCTCATATTTTCTGGGGATCCACCCTGAACAAGGTGTGCTGCCACGGCATATTGAGTGAGCGAGATCAACGCCATTAAGAACAGCATATTGGACAACCCAGTGTTAAAAAAGTCATCTTGGCAATTTATGCATTCTAATCCTCATCCTGAAGCAACTTCAGAGGAAAAATTCCAATATTCTATTATAAAACTGCACTTGGGTCTTTTCTTTCCTTTCCCCTAGGTGTCAAAGTAAAAGGTAGCCGTGGTGACTCCTATGGTGCCTGACATTTCCTCACTGAGACACTTACTGTGTCCTGTAACCACATCAGGCATGTCTGAAAGAGCCAATGGCGCTTTCACATGTGTCCTTGCCATTTTTTATCTTGCTCACATGGATACTGACAGAATGAACCAAGTGATTGGCTCCACATTTCTAATGAGGGTCCATTCTACCCAAGTGCTCTGAGCTTGAATGAGATAGACCCCCTTTGCTCATCAGAGGCTCCCATGGAGCCAGTTGGCCTGGCCAGGTGCAAGACTGGACCTAGGGCCACTGGAGACAAGGTGGGCACAGAGTCCTGGACTAACCCCACGCAGCATGGGGTGAAGGTCCCAGGGGCGAGAAGGCCAACAGCTTTCAGTGATTTTCTGCAGTCCTGGGTGAGGCAGATACAGTTTTTACAAGTATCCAGATATTCCAGAATTCCATGTGTCTCTTTTTGAGAGGTTTGAGAACTGCAGTACAATTAAAACAAAAATGAGCCTTTTAAAAATTTAGTTATCATGTCCATACACAGACAATTCAATGAGGGGAAAATATATGTCCTTATTATATGAATATTTGGGCATTTTTAAAACTTGTTATGTGAAATTGAACAAAGAAGTAAAAAATAATGTGTGCTAGTATTTGCTTTGTGCTTATGTGAGGGGGAAGATAGCCCTGGCTCGGCTTTCTCACCATGGGGTTGGGTCTTAGTAATTAAGAGCAAGAGCTCATGTATCCAGCAAGTGGGAGGTGCAGCTTGTGTCCTAGCTTGCATCTTCCTCAAGTTCTTACTGAAATGCTAGGTCTTCTTCCACTGCTGCCTCAAGGACCAGGCAATTGTGGGAAGTGATGAGGGCAGTAAGAGAATGGAATGTGTAGCTTTATGGGACCCGGAGGGGTGTGGGTGGGTATTGAAATGAGAGTTGTGGTGCTGCTGCTATCAGAAAGGACCAGCAGGAGGATGGGGAAGCAGAGGCTCTTTGATGGCTTTTCATGTTTACTAGATCGTCTCTTGGCTTGCAATTCAGCACGTCCTGATCCCCAGATTCACATAGAGTTATAGAGGGTGTGGCCCTGGTCCAAGAATTTGTTGCACCTATAAAAATAAGTGGTTTTCAACAGGCTAAATGTGTCCCATTGAATTGGAGGGGAAAATGGCAGATCCTTTCTCTGTAATTTCATTTTGGCTGCTGTTGGTTTTATAACCCCTTCGGAGATAAGCTCCTTTTTGCAAAAAGGTTGCTCAGACTAGAAAAGACTCCTCCAGGCTATACGAACCATAGCAGAATCCACATGAAAACAAACTGGCTCTCTTTGTTTTACTCTGATCTGAATCAGAGAGGCAATAAATCCTAGTTCATATCAGAGAGCTTGGTTTGGGAACTAGTGAAAAAGAGACATGTCAGAACATGTGTCAAAGCTGACTGTATTTCCTGTGTATTTTATTTTTAAGAAGGTATTTGAAAATGCACGGCATAATGACGTGTGATATCTTTATACTATGAGCTGTAGCTTATATTGGAAAGCTACCTACTTGGAAAGGAATGTTGCCACTAATTTTGAAACTGAAGGTATTTCAGTTTTTGTGGCCTTTGTTTAATGTTTGATTTTAGTTGTGACATAATCAACTGATGCATTAGAATATATTAGAAGTGGTACTCCTAATAAAAATGATAATCTCAAATACATATTTATTTTCAGTGTTTGCATTTTTATTTTACCACCATTGACCTAGTAAAAGCAAAGAAACATTGTTGAACAGAGATGATGTGTTTTTTAAACATAAATGGCACAATTATGTCCCCAAATGCAAAGGCTTTACATATGTATGTTTTATTTCTTATGTATTTTAATGTCATAAAATTAATTTTCCTCAGTTTCTGTTTTGTGTATATGGATGATTCTCCCACCTTCAAAATAGTAGTCTGCATGCTTTAGAATAAAATCGATAACCCAGGAGGTTTAAACATCAGGATCCATCCATGGAAATTTTTACAAAGCTTTAAAACAGCAGTCCCTTTCTGCATAAATATCTTAAGGAGCATCACCAATCTCCACAGAGGTCAAGGAGAACTAGATCTACTTTCCCCTTGGCCTTCTTGACAGAGAAATTTACAATGCCGCTGCTAGTTATTAATGTCCCTGACTTTGAGCACTGGGGGATAAGGAAGGAGAAGCCCTAGGGGATAAAACAACAACAACAACATCACCCAGAAAACAAACCTGTACTGGGGATGGGGAGTGTTGAAGGGAAGAGTAGGGGAAGGATATCTTCCTCAGGAGGTAATCTATCTTGAAATCAGTGAAGTTAAAACTCAGAGTGTCCTCAGCAAAAATATTAATAGACCTCTAGAAAACCTCAATGTGCACCACCCACATGCTCCCCTCTATTTTTAAAAATAGATCCACAGGCATCCATGACAGCTACAGGATTCTTACACAGAAGGCAGGAGAGGCTTGGGGACAGCAGTCTGATTAGGAGACCCAAAACATGGGCTGGTGGGGCCTGGAGGTGGGATGGGAAGCAGCCACAGCCCTCCCTGTATCGGTAACATATGGCTGCTTCCAGAGCCCCTGGGGGACACCAGCTCAGGTCCTAGGACAGTTCTGCACCAGGATGAATTGAAACAATACACAAAAAGAAAGAAGAACTGAAATTGTAAAAGTAGGCAGCTATGGGAGAGTGGAAAGAGCATTGGTTTGGAGCCTGAAGTTCTGGGTTTGAATGTTGGCTTTGTGTTAGCAGCTGGCGGAGACTGAGCAATTAATTTGGAGGTTTGATTTTCTCATCCATAAAATGAGTTATCCCCATAGGGTTGTTACAGTGTGTATGAGAAAGTATGTTAAACACTAGGCTGCGTAGTGGTTTTGAGGGATAAGAAAGTGTGGATAGCAGAGGAGGGCTGGCTTGTGATCTGTGGATTGATCCCGGCTGACATCGCATCTGTTTTCCAAGCTGAAGCTCTGGGTCACCCACTGACTTGTGTCTGGGACTCTGCTTTGCAAGCTCAAAACCAAGACTTTACTCATTTACCCGGAGTTGGTGTTATCACAACAGTGAAGGTGAACCACACACAAAGAGGCCAGCGGGTGTGTGATTCAGTGTGCAGGCAAACCACAAACCTCGTAGTTTAAGAATACTGCCCCACTCCCTCTCTATGGCTGTCCTTCCCATTGTGGAGATATATCTTTGAGCTCACATTCCTAACAGATTGCTCTGGTGAGTGGGGAGTAGAAGCAAGGGGATCAGCTGGCCCCGTGAGTTCTTTCAGCCAGTGTGTGAGAAGCTGAAGAATTGCCCCTAATGTCATAGCAGAGGTCACCTTCCTAGGGACAGGAGGACCTTCTGGTCAAACCCAAAGTCGGGACAGTGTGGGGTCAACATCAGCAAAGCAGCTCTTGCAATTCCCGCTAGACTGTGAGGAGAAGGGACTGGGTTTGTTTTACGCACCGCTGTATCTCAAGTCCCCAGCATCATGCCTGGCTCAAAGTAGATGCTCAATAATCTGCTTTGAGATGAAAGAAGAAATGAATGGTTTTTGTTTTTAAAGTTTCTGCATGCAACTTTAACTTACATTATTTAGATTGTGGGTGACTTTTGGTATGTCCTTCATGAGATCAGCATACTCATAAGCTCTTAGGCAATTATTGTGGGAAGAACTTGATATGCACCCCTTGTGTGAGCTGTTGCTTACCCTCCTCAGTCTTCAAGGTCACCATCCTTTGAACTTACTCTCAGATTAAGGGTAAGCCCTAAACCCTGGCTACACTAATGCCGGGGAGCCATTCTCATAGGGCCACAGGGTCTGCAGCTCAGCCAAGAACAAATTTCTAAAAAGTCCAAAGAATAGTGGGGGTAGAAGGACTGACTCCTGGATTGAGAATGGGAAATGTAAACCAAGAGTGGGTGGTCACCTGCTCTCTCCCACCTAAAGGAAATGTCTGGGAAATTAGTAGCAGTCCACCCTTTGTACCAATGATGGGGAGAAGACTTTCATGTAATCATACACTCTCATTGTTATGGTCAGAGAATGTTCTAAGGCCCTTGGCTTTCTACCAAGTATCACCAAAATCCAATAGGCTATACATCAAGAAGCAAATAGTTTGAAAAAAGAAAATATTGGGTTAATCTATGTTAAAGGAATCTGGGACTCGAAATATCATCCTTATCTGGCATCATCCATGAGAGTTAGTTATGAGGAAAGAGGGAATGAATGAATTTTAAAACAAAAACAAAAAACTCCTCTTTGAACCGTAAGGACCAATTAGAAATTCAGGGCCTAACCACGATGAAACCATATTTAGTTTTGGGGGAAAATGCTGCTAATAATGCTCTGACATTGGGAATTCACCTACTATACCAAAATATAAATATTCCCCAGATAAAATTACTGGTATTTTGTGGTTCTCATTCAAATTGAAGGTCATTCCAGTAAATGCTATTAGAAGACTCACAGTGAGTCAGCGTGCCCAGGGCAGATCCGCTATCTCTACTCCAGGACACTGATTTCTGTTCATCCTGACATTCATGAAAGAATATTCACTCTCACATGAAAGACAGAAAATATATTCTTTATTCCTAGAAGCTTTCCAACGTTTCATCGGAAAATGTTTCATTTTATTATTGGAGGCCCTGGCCGCCCTTATGATAATGTGACAGTGGCAGTTTACTTATGTGGTTTACCTGGGGGCCCTGCTCTCAACAGACAGAAGCAGGGAGGAGGTGAGAGTCAAGGAGGAGGGTGAGAATAACAAGCAGCTGTTGGAAGAGAAACACAGGGAGGACAGCAGGAAGGCAGGACACACACGGGTGGACTGTCATCCCGTCTCTGTTCATGCACAGGGGTCTTGTTATAAGGCTTCTCTGAAGTGGGATTTTATTGGCTCCCCCAGTTCTTTCTGAATTTGGGTTAATGGCTGGAGACTCAGAATCTTAAAATTAAATGTTCTAATGTTTTAACATAATTGTCTTAATAGTACAACAGTAGTTGTACTACTGAGTTTTTCATCTGTGGGTATTTGGCAAATAAATAATTCAGCTCTACATTCCTGTGATCGACAGGAACAGGACAGTCTCTATACCTGTCTGGCAAATGAAGCATTATGTTGTCGATGAAATGAATGTTCTGCCTTGTCACTCTCTGAGTCAGTGGTAGAGCCACAAAGAGATGACCAGATGCCTGGTGACCAGACCCCAGGGCCCTTCTGATACCTTCCTGGCCCCCATTTAATTTATAAACCCAAATTTCTCCCATTTTGTTATAAAAAGTAATCTGTTAGCCCATGGCAGGGGCTGAGTCCTCTAAATGGCCAGAAAATATTAATTAGTGATGAGACTTGTTCATACATGAGATAGTCAATTGAACTCACATAATAATTTTTTTCAAAAGTTGCTAAATACCACCAAGACATAACATAAAGTCAAGTTCCGTTTTGTACTATTTAAATTGTCCATTATAAGCATCCATATGTACCATTTTTATATATTATTAGGAAGCTCCTAATAAAAAAATTAACAACAACAAATCCAGCTACTAATTTGCATAGGTTAAGATTAATACCGGTTACGTTTAGGAAAGGTTCAGTGCTGAATACCTAGGCCTCCCTTCTGGAAAGTAGGAGTGAGTGTGATTATTTGAGCACTAGAACAACTGCTAGCATGTTGGGGTTATCTCTGTCCTCGTGACCCGTTTAAAGGAAGGAAATGAATTGGAGATATGACTTAGCAGTTCTCTTCATCAGCCCTTGGAGCTAATATATCTCTTGTGGATGGAGCTCTAACTAGAATGTTAGAATTTTTCTCCAGCTTTCTTTGGGGGAAATGTTCTTAGAATATATATTGATTCTTTTTGGTTTATGTTCTTAGATCAAATAAACCTGATAAACTTAATCCTAGCTAAGCAAAAATAGACACACGTGTTAGAAAGCTTCTTTTTGTCCAACTCTGGGAATGGCAGTGTATTCAGCCTGGTCGGCCCCATTATTGATAGATATGCCAGAATGCATACCACTTTTATTTGCAGTAAAGATCAGCACATAATTGATGAGATTAGCCATCTATGAAAGGAACCCATTTTAAAAGTGTAACTCAAGGAAATATTTGGGGGGAATGTAATGGAGATGTTTTCTATTATGATTGTGGTGGTAGCTACTCAACTCTGTATTTGTCAAAACTCATAGAACTAAAAGAATAAATTTTACTGAATGTAAATTTAAAATAAGTTCAAAAATATAGAAGAAATATACCAAAACATGCTATTTGGCACATCATCATAAAAAGAGGATATGTGGGAAATATCCAGCACTAGTTAAGGTGCCCAGACCCGACCATCTAATCAATTCATATTTATGGAATGCATCCAATAATATGCACATGGTATATAAAGAGAACTGGGTTATAAGAATTTAATGATAATAATTCCTGCTCTATCCCAAGAGGTGATTTTAAATATGGCAGATACCAGCAATTTTTTGCATATATTCTATTTAGCAAGAACATTGTGGGGCAGGAATGGTGCATTAACTTATCCTTCAAGGTAATTTTTGGCCTTGATTGCTTGTTCAGTAAACAATCTTCCATAATTGCTCCAACATTCTTTGAAATGTAAAGTAGCCTGCCATCAGTGCATCATTCTGGTCATTAGAAAATATATTCCTACCCCTTGAAAATCAATAAATTGGTATTGATATTCAGATCCATAGATCACTCTTGGGCAATATTTCTCCTAAACTTGATTAACTGAGTTTTCTGACAAAATGGATCTTGTTTCTTAATCTCCAGCCACACTGGCCCAGTCCTGAGTTGTGACGCCCGCACCAAGTGCTGCTTGCCCATGCGGCCAGCTTCCTTCGTTCTTTGACACATTTCATTGGACACATCAGCCAAATTGCTGCAAGATTCTGCAGGGCAGGAGGTGGAGAGAATCTCCCCCAGTGGAGTCTTTATGAGGTTTTAGAGGTGAAACTTTCTTTTCCTTAAGAGCTGGAAGCAAACTCTTCACTTTTCTGAAATCTGTGACAATTATTTCATGCTCTGCTCATTGGAAGGGTCCTGTGCTTCCAGGCACCTTTCTGTGTGGTGGATGTCTTGTATTTCTGATATAATCTGATCTGAAAATCAGAAGCTTGCCTGGTGCTTTATATATGGTAGGGATCCAATATATACTTGGGAAGACACTTGACAAATAACCCTACGTTCTAGCTTGCTCTTGCTCCCTGATCCCAGGCAAATTTTGGGTGTTTCTTGAAGGGAGAACTAGCTGGTTTCTTGTCCTGTCCCAGTTTATCCCAAGCCAACCTCACATAAATTAACTGCCAAGACCCTGTCCAGTGGGGAAAGTGGTTTAGCCGGGGCGTGGCAGGGACTGGGGCAGTGCCCCTCAGAAGGTCCGGCTCAGGCTCCTGGGCCAGTGTGTGCTGTATTCTTTCCACATGAAAGGTGAAATGCCTTGTTTCACTGAAATAATATAAATGAATGTGGGAGGGCTCTGGAAATGCCCAAGGTGACCCTGGGCAAATGCCACCGAGCCTTGGAGAGAGTGTGTCATCACAGATTAGAGTGCCCATGTTCCAGCAAACAGTGTCCCGAGAGGGCAGAACACCACGATTTCCTATTTATTCAACAGCTTCAGGTTCCCCCACAACTCTCCATGCAGATGCCCATGAGCTTTGTGGCGATGCCCATCCTTGCAGGCAGATGGACCTGGGACCCCAGCCTATCTTTATATTTATGTGGGTAGAATTCCTGCTCGATTTCTGCCTTCTGATGAGTGATCACTCTTCATCTGGATACATTTTCTCCCCCCTTACAATTTTTAGCTCAAGTTCTTCTTATTCACCTGCTTTGTATTGATTTTTTTCTATTGATTCTGCTCACCAACATCATTCTTATAAAATATATATACTTAGAAAACATATATCCTTATCTTCTCATGTCCAGGTACAGATAGCCTGTTCTGGAAGAAAATGCAAGAATCTGGCACTATGGGCTGTCTCTGGGAAGCAGATTCTGTGGCTGGAGTAGGAGGGCTGGGGAGTTACTGACTTGAGGAGGGGCCAGTCCCACCCTCTTCTCTAGAAAGAAGGCTTGCAGTTGTGCAGGGCCCTGGGTGGAAAGGAGAAATTTGTGCACCTTTTCTGCTTATACTTTTATACACTGCACATGGTTTTGTTATTCAAACACTTGCATTGAAAAAATAAAAATTCATATTGGCTTTCAAACAGCAAACATTCAGATAAAATTAGACTTGAGATCCCCTTCCTTTTGAGCTCTAAAGAATTCCCTTGGTGCATTTCATTGAATGCCTGGATTTTTTTCTGCTTAATGCCCCTGCTTAATGCCCCTTCCAGGCTTTGCCCTGGTTTATAGTTTGACGTGCAGCTTTCTGACTCAGGCTTAGATCATCAGGAAATAAGCATAAACAGCAGTAAAGAATCAGACTGGGAAGAGCCTCCCCAAAGGTATTTACCCAACAAACTGCTTCAGGTCCATCTTCTGTGCCAGGAAGGT